GCCGAGGTCGAATACGAACCTCGTTGAAATTATAAGGTCAAGCACGAACCATAAATACTCTTATCCGAGGTCGAGTCCGAACCTCGTTTAAATTGTAAGGTCGAGCACGAACCTTAAATACTTTTATCTGAGGTCGAGTCCGAACCTCGTTAAAATTGTAAGGTCGAGCAAATTTTTAAAAAAATTCGCAGGAAACGTTGTTCTTACAAATTTTTTCTGCGTTTTATCTGTAGGTAATACTTTCGTGGATAATATATTTTTGTGAATTTTAAAATTCGCAGGAAATTTTCCTGCGAAATTTCTTGCAAAAAAAATCACAGGAAAGTTTCCTACAAAAAAAATTTGCAGGAAAGTTTCCTGCAAAAAAAAATTTGCAGGAAAGTTTCCTGTGAATTTTTTTCCAAGATATTCTGCATGAATATTTTTTACGAAAAAAATTAAAGAAATTACTATAAATTCTATTAATAATTCTTCAAATTTTAAATGTTCACAATAAATTCATCCGAAGCATTTGTTTTCATGCCTCCAACATGTGATACATAATCTTTTAAATTCTAAGATTGTAGATTATAAGCCTAACACTCAACCATACTAATCAACTTGTGTTGCCCCAACTTATATACTATTTAATTGTTTTATTTTTAATCGATGTGGGATTTGAAGTTTTTTTAAAATATTAAACTTATAAATTTAAATATATTTTTTTATTTTTCCTACAAATTAAAATTTGCAGGAAAATTCGCAAGAAAAGTTACCTGCAAAATTTTTCTATCATTTAGTAAACATTACTTGCGAATTTATTTTTGCAAGAAAATCTGCAAGAAATAAAATAAAATTTTTACAATATTTTCTGCAAATTTTTACCATGAAAAAAATTTCTATGATCATTAAAATTGTAGGAAAATTTGTAGAAATATCTGTAAATTATTTTTTGTAAATAAATTCGCAAAAAAAAATTGCGAATATTGTTTTGCAAGAAAATTCGCAAAAAATTTCTGTGAATAATTTTTTGCAGGAAAATTTGCAAAAAAAAATTGCGAATATTTTTTTTTTTTTTGCAAGAAAATAACATTTTTTTAATAGCGTGTTTTATGTACAGATTAAAGAAATTCAATGATATATTTTTTTCGTCTAAATGAAGTCTAGTGCCTCATTTTGTATAGACCTCGATTAATACCTCTCAAATAGTTATTAAGGTTTGAAAAACAACGAGTTTTCAAATAGAAAAGGAATTCATGGTCACTTGATCAACTACATCAAAGGTGAAAGAGACTAAGAACAATTCATATATCATTAAACTAAATAATCAAAATTTTACTTTATCAACATATTAAGTGGTTCAAACCGTGCAATTTTATCATGGTTGTGCTCCTTCATCAACGTCGTGCTCCTTCATCGACTACAAGCAGCACAAATTGCAACCTAATCAGACATGTGCTCGCGAAAGGGGATAAAACCCTTACATCTAGACACGCACTTTTGATTACTTTAAACTAAATAATATTATAGGGGTAAATTTTCCAAATTACATGTGTTCTCACCTGAGATTGGTCTAGGAGCGACCACTCCAATGAGATTGATGAGCCTCTCCTACTTTGTGCGTCGGTCGTGCCGAGATGGGAGTGGTACCTACAAAAGAGACTCTGATACTAAAGTTAGTCTTTGTAGATGTGTGGGTCTCTTATATAATACATGTACCTTGGTGTGAATTAGGGTTTCTCCCTAAGCGAGAATAGGGTTGATCTGGGCCTATGATTGGCTATGGCCCAATGGACCATGGGCATGCATGTTAGCTGATGTCATGTAGTGTTTGGATATCGAGCTCGATCTCCGTGTCCGAGGTGGATAGTTTTAGATGGTCCGATGTTGTGCAAGGTGCTTCGTACTGGCGAACTTGGATAGGAGATCGGCCCTAACATTCTACTCCTGAGGCATGTGGTGTATTGTGAATTCCTCGAAGGATGATATCCACTAGGATGCTTGGTGGTAGTATCTTTGTAGTAGCGCGTCTTTGGTCTAGTAGGCACCGCTGAGCTGTTCTACCATGAGTTTTGAATTGCTGTTGCAGCTTACCCTTTGCGCTCCGATGTCTCATGCCAGCCTCAGTCCTGTCAACAATGCTTCATACTCTGCCTAGTTGTTGGTGATTTTGAATCCAAATTTGAGAGACTATTCGATGGTGACTTGGTTAGGGCCTTCAAGGATAATTCCCGCGCCTACACCTTTAGTGTTGGAGGATCCATCGACGTGCAAGGTCCAAATTAGGTTTGCATCTGTAGAGGTCGGGGTGAGCTCGGCCACGAAATCTGCTAGGCATTGAGCTTTAAGGGATCCTCGGGCTTCGTATCTGATGCCAAATTCAGATAGCTCGACTTACCATGGATCATGCATCCCACGAGTTCTGGTTTTCTTAGTATCTATTTAATTGGGTAGTCCGTCTTTACGACGACCTAGTGGCTTTGGAAGTAAGGTCGAAGACGCTGGGCGGAAGTGACTAGTGCCAATGCTAGCTTCTCAATCGTCTGGTACCGTCTTTCTATGTCCTGGAGAACTCGACTGATGAAGTATATGGGGATTTGTTCACTGTGGCGCTCTTGCACTATCACTGCACTGATAGCATCCTCTACTATAGCTCTTATAACTATTATAAACTACTCAATTTCAAATACAATCATCCACGATGGCACTATCATTTAATTTCTATTATTTTGTTTTCTAAAATAAACATAATGAAACACGAAGTTTCTGTTTCTCTTTCGCATGATAATATAAAATAAAACAAAAAACAAAAAAAAAACAAATAATTTACATGGAGAGCTCTGCTAGGGTTTCTGAAGGAGAGAAGGATAATATCAGTTGTAAACTTGTAGTACTCCGCCGCAGTAGCCGCGAGAAGGCACGTGCTCTCTCCGGTTCCGATTTTAAAAGCAAAGTGCACCCCACCCCAACCACAACACAACACATACAATGAAGACACGCCACTCACCGTTTCTGTCGGCACTGCTACTGCTGCCACTGTTAGCTCTAAGCTCTGCAGATCCCACAACCATCATCTTCAACACAGTCGCCAGAGTTAACTTCGCCTTCGACATCTATTCTCTCCCAATTCAGCAACTACCACTCACCCCTAACCAACAACTTCAACTCACCGATGGCCACTCCGTCAATTATAACGGCCACTTCATCTCCAATGCTTCCGCTATCCAACTCCCCACGCACTCTCCTCCTCTCCATCTCGTTTACATCACCGAGAGAAACGGCTCTCCCACTGTATACTACGACGCCGTTTACACTTCCACCACCACATGTAAAACAAGATCCGCTCTGGAAAACACAAGAATCCAAGTCCCTCTGTTACCCACCCACACTCATCAAGTTTCCATGAAAGACAGGCCCAGTGTAACCCCCGATGGCCAATATTTACTATACGTATCCACCCACGAGGACCCGGGTGTTCCACGGGCCAGTTGGGCCGCAGTTTACTCCACACACCTCCTATCGGGCCTCACCCAAAGGCTCACCCCTTACGGCCTCACTGATTTCAGCCCAGCCCTCTCCCCCTCCGGTCTCTGGACCGCGGTTGCTTCCTACGGCCCCCACGGCTGGGCCGGGGAACTAGAAGAGTTCACAACAGACATCTACGTTTTCCACACTCGCGATGGAACTCACCGAGTCAAACTCGTTGACGACGCTGGTTGGCCCTCCTGGGCAGATGACCGCACTCTCTACTTCCACCGCAGGGCCCACGACCAATGGTGGAGTATTTACAGAGCCATTCTCCCCTCCGAAGCTCCCTTTTCCACTGACTCGGTACTCATCGAACGAGTCACCCCACCGGGTCTCCACGCGTTCACACCAGCGACCTCACCAGGCAACAACAAGTTCATGGCCGTGGCAACAAGAAGGGCAGGGTCAACGTTTCGGCACATCGAGCTATTCGATCTGGTTAATAATGAATTCAAGGAGCTAACACGCTTGGTCTCGCCAACTTCTCACCATTACAACCCGTTTATCTCACCGGATTCATCCCGAGTGGGGTACCACAAATGCAGAGGAGAATCCAACGCTCAGCTCTTACTCGAGAACGTTCAAAGCCCCGTCCCTGGTCTGTCTCTATTCCGCTTCGCCGGTGAGTTCCCGTCTTTCTCACCCTCCGCCGACCGAATCGCGTACACCGCCGTGCCGGGGGTTTACGTGGTGAACCCGGACGGTTCCAATCTGCGTAAGGTTTCGGACGCGATGGCATTTTCCACCGCTTGGGACCCGGTTCGAGCGGGAGTGATATACACTGCGATTGGGGAATCATTTGGTTCAGAGAGTTCCCAAGTGGATATAGTGTCCATCGACGTTGACGAAGGAAACAGTGTGAAGAAATTGAGCTTTGACGGGAGCAACAACGCGTTTCCGTCGGCCTCGCCGGACGGGAAATGGATCGTGTTTCGGTCGGGTCGGTCGGGTTATAAGAACCTTTACATAATGGATGCGGTGGGTGGAGAGAGGAAGGAGCTTCGAAGGTTGACGGAAGGTCCTTGGAATGACACCATGTGCAACTGGTCACCGGATGGGGAATGGATCGTTTTTGCGTCGAACCGGCATGCCCCGGGTACTGCGAGCTACGAGCTGTTCCTGATCCACCCCAATGGAAGCGGGTTGAGGAAGTTGATGAAAAGCGGGTCGGGTGGGAGGGTGAACCACCCGCATTTTAGCCCGGATGGGAAGAGTGTAGTGTTTGCTTCGGACTATGCGGGTATATCTGCTGAGCCAATCTCCAACCCTGATACCGCCTTGCCCTATGGTGAAGTATTCAGCATTAGATTGGATGGGTCGGATTTCAAGAGGTTGACTCATAGCTCGTTCGAGGATGGAACCCCTGCTTGGTCGCCAAAGTATATACCTTCGCTGAATGTCGAGAAGCCCAAGGGTGGACCCTATTGCTCTTTTCAAGATTGTTATTTTCTTAACATCACGCTCAATACCACAGGTGCGGCTGTGTCTAAGTCTCGATGCGCTCTGTAACGGGTCTGTTACTATGTATGATTAAATGTGGGACAAAGTATTTGTTTGTTTTATTGTTAGATAGAATTAGTTACTTTATATTTTAGTGCTTTGAAAAATATATTTTTACGTTTTGTTACAAAAATGGTTTTTCAAACATGCTCAAAGTTTTTATGTTAAGATTTATGTTTCTGTCAATAAGTAACCCTATTATTTATTCCGATTCTTGTTTACTTATACTTAATTGAAGAGGTGGGCTGTTTCATGTCTTGGTTCTTTTCTTTATGTAGCCATAGTGGATTATCAGTGAATGTGACATCCTTACTATCTCAACATATATATTATTGTACTGTGGTGGTCTTCCATGAGCCGACCCGAAATAGGTCGGCAAAATATTGATCTGACATGTTCTTCGCACCTTAGTGCTCGAGCATGGAGAGCTATGTACCATGGTGGTCTCTCATTGGCCGACCCGAGACACATCGGCAAAATGACGAGCCCATAATAGGGACCCAAATATGGGAAGATTCACTGGCTCACTCAGACAATCAATCAATAAGATCCCACAATCCGTGGGAACAATAATAAATACCGGGAGTTACGAGTCCATAATGAGGCGTGATTTATGGGATCATAAAGAGAAGTGTGCGATTCATGTCTGTAACGCTACACCATTATATATAACAATGATTAGGTCTAAGAAGAGGGTTACTCTTATCAAATGTTCTAGGTCAAGATTGTTGTCAAGTTCTTTTAGCTCGGTATCGCTAAGGGTTCTTCGGCGGTGATCTCCAATACCGGAACAATTGTAATAATGAAAACTTACAAATAAATTTTTTAATTTCGGTAAAAGGGTTCACATGAGAATCTTCAAAATTATCCTTCAATAACCACAATAATAAAAATGAAACGCAAGAGTTTATAAATTGTTTTCAAAAATAACATTTACAATTCCAAATCCAAATAAAAACATATGTTCTAAAAAAAATCCTCTGCCCCGATGTCACAATATCAGAGCATCCCCACAATTCAACTGTTGGCATACTAGATGCCACTCGAAGCAGGATCTTCCTCACCTAAAACATCCACAATTTGTACGGTGAAAAAAGAAAACATCCATATGTAAAGCACATACACAACAATGTAATCTCATTACATTGTGAAATATTTACAAGCATTTCCATATATCATAACTCTATCAATCATGCATCATTTTCACATCTCAATTACATCAATCCATCACCATCCACACAAATCTTACAATTATTTCCACATCCATAATTCATGTCAATCTCACAATTAACACTATGCCAAGACCTCGCCACATCTGACACAAGTGATACAGGTTAATTGCCTCACTCAACCCACACCAGACCAGGGTCACGCCCTCCCTGTAGCATCACTTACCCAGGGGCCGTGCCATCCCTAGTCATTTGGTGTGAGGAACCACAATCACATTACAATCAATACAATCTCTTGCAATTAACCCTATGCCAGGGTTGCCATAAGCGACATAAGTGGTGGTGTTAACTGTCTTACTCATCCCACACCATGCTAGGGTCACGCCCTCCCTGTAGCATCACTTACCCAGGGGCCGTGCCATCCCTAGTCATTGATGTGAGGAACCACAATCACAATACAATCCACACAATCTCTTGCAATTAACCCTATGCCAGGGCTGCCATATTCGACATAAGTGGTATGTGTTAACTGTCTTACTCATCCCACACCATGCTAGGGTCACGCCCTCCCTGTAGCATCACTTACCCAGGGGCCGTGCCATCCCTAGTCATTAGTGTGAGGAACCACAATCATAATCATATTCACATCCATACAACATCTCATCTCATAACTCAATTTCATACACACATCAAATAGGTCCAAAATAATAGGTTTCATACATATCAAGCAATTCACATTTTAAATCATCAATTTTTATCAAATAATATAACAATGATATTCATAAATTAATATAATAACCAATAGAATTAGTAATTTAATATAATTTCATCATAAACAGTAAAATTCCTAATTGTTCCAAAACCTAGCTCACAGACACTTTTCTACAATTTCGTTCTCTCTCCTAGATCATCATTCTTACAAATTATTAGCATATTTATAAATCCTCAACACATACAGAATCTAATGGTATAATTAATTCCTCAAACAGAAATAATCCAATTTTTCCAAAACCTAACCTACAGACACTTTTCTATAATTTCGTTCTCTCTCCTAGATCATCATTCAACAAATTATTAGCATATTTATAATCCTCAACACATACAGAAACTAATGATATAATTAATTCCTCAAACAGAAATAATCCAATTTTTCCAAAACTTAACCTACAGACACTTTTCTATAATTTCGTTCTCTCTCCTAGAGCATCATTTTTACAAACAAATCATATATTTGTTGTCCTATATATATACAGAATCAAATAATGCCAATAATTCTTCAAACAGAAATAATTATAAAATTACTCATAATCCTAAGGGTTCTTCCTCTACCCAATTCCCTCATGTAACTCTACATATATATAATCCCCTTTTCCCCCGTACCTGGATACGTAGAAGCTGAATTTATACGAGATTTGGTTGGTCTCCCTCGCTGGGTTCTCCTCGGTCTGAAGCAAAAAGTAGAGGGAAAAGAAGAGAGAGCAGAAGAAAAGAAATCAGAAAATGAGAGGTGTGCCTTTTCAGAGTGGCAGACAGCTCAATTTATAGGCCTCAGACTTCGCCAGAATGGCCCGTTCCAATTTCGGAACGACCCGTTCTGGACCCCAAAATCGTGGGCAAAAAATCACACCCAAAATGGTCCGTTCCCAAACCAGAACAGCTCGTTCCCAAACCAGAACAGTCCGTTCCCAAACCAGAACGGCCCGTTCTGGTTGCATTTATTACTCACAACTGCCGTAGCCCGTTCCAAGCCCGTTCTCACTTAAAGTATAAAGCAGTTTTTAATAGTCCAGAACGGCCCGTTCCAACTTGAGAACGGCCTATTCTGGCCTACGAACTAACATACAATTTGGTAGTTTGGAACGGCCCGTTACAATGCCGGAACAGCCCGTTCCAAGCTACTAAATCACCTCTATACCTTTATAAAATTTACCAAAATACCCTCTAAAATAAAAAAATAGAAATAAGAAAAAAATGGGGTGTTACAGTGAACGAATAAGACATTTCCAAATTTGTTGTGCTCTGATTATACAATTCCAACAAAGAGACTTTAGGTTAAGATTTGGATAAATTGTTAGGCAATAAATAAATGTTCTTACGCCTTGCTGCTTAGCCATATCTAACTCTAGTAGTGGATCCACTTGATAGAAGAACCAGCACCAAGAAAGAAAAAGAAAACCGTTAAAATTGTGCTGTTTTTAATTGACTTAACATAGCTTGATTAGCTTCGAAGTATATTACACACATTGTACCAACCCTTTTAGTTTATTAATGCCATTTTTAAAAGTAAAATGTGCTTGGGTGGGTTTGAGGTAACGTTCACCAGCATTGGTTTAATGTTTACCATTGCGTTATTAAATTTGTCACTTAATCTGCAATACTTTAATCGTATGCGAAACGCTTTAATATTTATTGTTCACCAGTCAAACACAAGGTTAATGATGATTATTAAAATAAAATTCTAATTCTAATTAGAAAATAATCGTAAACAAGTTGCTTGTTGAATTTTTTTTGTGAACTTGTGTGCACAAGAGTGTGCACATCAATAAAAGCAGATACAAGAATTGTAATTAAGATGGAGGGTTGGCAACTACGTTGTACAGTGTTAGAGAAGCGCGTCTTCTCTCGAGACAAGGTTATGTCAATCTAAGCCTACACCAACCGGAAATTAGACTGTCATCTCTGCTCAATTCTGGAAAAATTCTGAAGGTATTGAAGGAGGGCAGCACTTCTTGGCCACATATTTGTACTGAAACACAAATAAGTTGTAAGAGAAGGTAAGCAAATCATTCATCAAAAATATTAATAAAAAAGAAAAAGAGAAAAAGAAAAGAAAAAAAACAACTCTTGAGCAGATTCTTGTGGTTAACATGAGGCAACGAGATTACTAACCTTATGCTGACTGTATTTCTCCCTAATTGCGGGCAAATTAGAGTTAGGGCTATTGCAACAAAGACGGTGGAGATCCTTTACACAAACACACAGATCAGAAGGCCGATACAGCGTGTAATGATGCAATGTGGAATTCTGTCGTCAAAATCAGAAATAGTAAGTCAAGCATACCAAAAACATAAAACACCTACAAGTTGGGACACATAATTCTATGTTATTAGCAGCATACCCATGGTTTCTTTGAAGGGAAAAGTATAAATTTGGCCAGGAAGATAGCAGAAGCGGCTATAAGTGATGGAGCATAACAAAGCATACTGTACTCCAAGAGAGACAATTCGGCAATATAGTTTGTCAAGCACTCTAGTTGCAGCGAAGGGACCTGAGAACCCATGGGAAAAAGGGGGCCAATACTTCAGAAATGGAATTCATATTAACATAGTAATTATAGCAACCGTCGGTGCTTTCTTTTGATTATAGCATTATTACTACCACTTTTATTGTTATGTTTCATTTGACTATAAGAACAAGTTAATTTTTGTAAATTACTTGACAAAAAACGCTAAGCTAACGGGTCCAACCTGTTATGAAGAAATAATATCTTTTCTTGGCTTCACGAATTTTTTTTAAAAAATAACAATAATTTCCTTAAATTAAAGTTAAATTTAAGGTGAATTAAATTTATCAGCTCTCGCTAGGTTAGTTCTTGTTGCATATAAATAATAAATAATTGGTAGGTTTTCGTAACCTCGCGTACGTTAAAATCATGGGGTTATCGTTATCCAAAGCCCAAAATTTAGAAAAGCCGTTGATGTAAATGGTACGAGACCCTATGGTTTTCTTACATTTCTAACTGTATGTAACTATTTAGAGTCAATAAACATGTTTGAACAAAATATACTAAACTTAAGTGAGGTTTATACCTCATCGACTCCTTGAGCTGCACGTACAAATCTTCTGTAAATCATAAACAAAAAAAAAAAAGTTTTGTATTAGAACGGTGTCAAAGAACTTCAAGCGGGTCAATCTCATAGTCATCCGTTAAATACCTTAAGAAACATTTTACTGTTGGGGCTGTCATTTCGAACTTGAGAAAATTCAAGACAGCAGATTCCATCTGCAAAACCTGCATCAAATGATTTTGCTTGAGATGTGCGCCCTCAAATACCATACGGCCTTACCATATATAAACAGATAAGTTGAAGCCGGAAAAGAATTCAAGCCAAACCTCTTCTTTGAAGTAGGTGTTATCAGTTATGTAACAAAACTCCTCCACCTGAGGGGCACAAATCTCCTCATATTTACTGGCAACAGAAACCAAATCCAAATATTGTTACTGGCACTGCATTAATGCCTTTATGTCAATGCTAGAGACAGAATAAAAAATAATGAGGGACTTGTATGGTTCCTTACGAGGCAATCATCATTGAGGCAACACCAAGTAATTGTAACCTTTGTCTGTTCATCAAATTCCCTGAAAGATATCGATCAATGTAGTTTACTGTCAAATACAACGTATCAGGTACAAGTCTATACTCTTCAGCCACCTGCAATTAGAAATTGACTTTAGCTTTATATCCATATACACAATGTGGTATGATGGTGCCATGTTACCTACTCCCAAAAATAAAATATTATTTAAATATCCCCATATGCAATATAATAATGCTCACATTTTTTAATTTAACGTGTTAAAGCTCACTGCAATCGACTATGAACAAACATATCATACCTCCACAAGCCAATCAATCAATATAGCACGCATGCTGGGGTTTATGTCCTTCTGAACCTTCTCCATGAAGTCTGTGGAAGGCCTTTTCTTTGCCTAAGATTTCAAAAATTGAAATTCATAAGTCTACTTAGTATAAACAATAATGACTTTGATAATTACATTTAACAATTAATAGTTCAAATGTAGCTTAGCTTTACCTCAGATGCACGAAGGTGCTTGTAGATATCACACGCAAAGGTTGCACAAAGCTGCGGATCCGCGTAATTGTTATCAACATTGACAAACTTGTCCCCCTTTTCCAACTCAACAAGTATGTCCCTACTACAAATGTTACCTGCAAAAATATCAATCAATAACAATAATAACATCTCACATTAGAAGGCAATTATTTGATATTTGTTATACGTATATGACCAAAGAATTTCATATTTTTTTTCTAGCAAAAGTGAAGAAAACGAAACCTGCTGGTTCTGCCGAATCAGAGATGTTGAGAATGCTGAATGTCTTCCTCTCAATTGAATCCACCGCTGCAACATCGCTGTTGTCCACATATTCAATGTCAGGACTCTTGAAAGAGTCACACGAAGACATTGACTCGTCCATAGAAACCGACATGCCATCTGATTTACTCGGTGAAACATCGACCACAGTGCTCGGAGCAGGAACAACGACGGTGGCGGAAACTGACGGAGGAGGAGGAGGGGGTGCAGCAGCAGCAGCTACATTCCTTTCAGGGAGAGAACTAGCCTTAGGGAAAACAACAGCATTCGAAGGTTTAACATTGGCCAATGTAGGTCTTTTGTTGCCTGAGCACGCCGGAATAACCTCTTTCTTGGTCTTCGCAACTTTAGCTGCGCAAGGAACCTGGCAACGCGAAATTCACATGAGCGAATGTTAAAGCAGTTTGAAATTGCAATGCATGTCGTGGAGTGAGTTAAAAGGATGGATTATTGTAATTTATTACCGAAGAAGATGAGTTGCGGTGAGCGACGGTGTTGGTGAGGTTAGTGAGCGGTGGTCGCTTCTTGGCCAGAGCCTTGTTCTCGGAGGAAGCGGTTGCGGCGTGGCGTTTGGCCAAAGACGACGTCGTTGAGGAGGAAAACGAGGAACGGCGGTTCTGGCTGGACATTTTGATTTGTCGCTAAGATTCAAGAAAGAAGCAAGAAAGAGAGCGTTACTGTGTGTGTTTGGAAAAAGAAAGAAAGAAAGAAAGAAAGAGAGAGTGAGTGTAATAAATTTGGTGGAATTTATTTATTTATATAATAATTTAATAATGAGGCGGGGAAAGGGGATGGTTTGAAATGGGAGGAGGATCTGGGCCGTAGGATTGGGCTGGGTGAGGAGCGGGGGACGCACGTGTGGGGCCCAACGCTGCCGAGGTTTTCAAATTGGTTCTAAGAGCGACCTACGATTGGCTGCTACGGCCACGTAGGCAAGGGGGACAGGCCGAGAATTCGAAGCTTTGGGTTTCATTGTTTGAATTTGAATTCAAACGGTCACTGGATCTGTCGTTTGCGGCTAGCCAGCCAAACGACTCGCAACTCCCAACCGTGATCGTGCGTGCCTGCGACTTACTTGAAAATTATTTTCCATTTCTGCACATTTCAAATTTCTGCTTCAACGGGATTGGGAATTTAAATTTCCCTTCTTTAAGGGAAGAAAATGTTTAACATAATACTGGTGGTGTTTTTTTTGTACTTAAGGAATGTAAAATCACAGCGCAGACACCCACTGAATTTGGTAATGTAATGAGACTGGTACCAAAATATATTGTGATTTGGAGGATTTTTTTAGAAATTCAATTAAGATTAAGATAAGATGCCTCTTAAGCCGATTTAATTGGCCAAATTTCAAATTTCTACTTGGAGTGTTACCTAATTTAAACTTTTGTTTTTTTTAAGGGAATAAATTCTTTTGTATAATTTTATGTTTTACACGTGAAAAAATGTTATATCACAACACACCCTTGTTGCTAGCATTTTAGTGGATTTGGTGACTTTTTTTTTTTTTTGGCTGTGAATTCGGTGACTTATTCACACGCAAATCAAAAGAAACTAATGGCAATGTTCATGATTTGGAGCCATGTCTTTGAAAATCAAACACATCCTCTTGAAAAAAATTGCTAATTTAATTGTTCATTTTAAAATTTGAGCTTCAAGAAGTTGTCCATTTTTAAATCTCCTTTTGTTAGGGAAACACAATCTTTAGCAGAATGGTAATTTTTGCACTTGAAAAATGTTTACTATTTCTTTTTATATCTCTTTTAAGGTTTTTATGTATGAAAAAATGCAATAAATTTTATGAATCTTAATAAATATATATTGGTTTTTTATTTCCATTTTCATAATAAATATTTAAACTAATTAAAAATTAGGTCAAAACAAGAATATACTAATTGATAAAAAAAATTATAAAAAGAAAACATAATCAATGTTATATTAAATTTTGAACTAACACCTAATTTTTTCTCTTTATCCATTTCGAACCAAACCAAAAATATTAAATTTTGAAATTGATATATAAATAAGAAAAAATTCTAAAAATCTGTTACTTAAAAACAATTGAGTGAAGTGTATGATAACACACAATTATCATCAGCATTTCAGGGAATTTGGTAGTTTAAACACGCTCTAACCTGCAAAATAAAGACATGTTCATGATTTGGAGGATTGTGTTAAAAAATCAGACGCATAATAAAATTTCAGTGGCGGAACTAACAAATAAATAAATAAATAAAAATTGAAGGGACCAAAATATATTAGATAATATTATTTTTTTTATATGTGATTTAAATATTAAATGATATTACTTAAATAATAATTATTTTTATTTGAATATTTTGTGATATTAAAACATCTTTTTCTTACTTTATTGATGTATTCATTGATTATTTTTTTTACGATTTTATGTATTTATCTCTTACTAAATAAAAAAGAGAGAAATTATTGTAAATTATTATTGTAAAAATTTGCAAGAGAAGTTAAGTTATTTTATACAATATAGTGGCGGATTTAGAATTTTTTTTAGTAGGATAAAGAAATGTAATATTTTTATAAATAAAAATATAATAAATTTTTATAAAATATATATTCATGAAAAAAACTAAATGCCTTATTTTCTATAAATTAAAACTATTTAATAAATCAATCGATAATTTCTTCTTTTTATTTGATATATTTTATTAAAATATATTTGTAATTTTGTGTGGTTTGTTTAGTATTAAATTAAGAATAAAATGATAAAATTTATGACAAAAATAATAAAATTAGTACTAATTTATTCTTATTTTTATCTATAACAATTTTACAGTACTCATTTCAAAAAATCATTATTTTAAAAAGATAGTATTTAATTTTTGTGGGGGCGTATTTTATTATTAAATGCATTTAAGTAAAAAAATAGAAAACTTAGAGGGGATAATTGCCCTCATAATTAATTACATTGATCCGTCCCTAATACAATACAATTTGTATGAAAACCTATAAAAAAAATTAAAAGTTTCATTGTTTTTTCAATAAACTTAAGGAAATAATCATATTTTTTTCAAAATCATTGCATATCTTGAAGAAGAAAAAAAACCTAACAAAATTCATAAAAGAAGTTAATTTGCATGAAAAATCCACAAGAAAAAAATTTAAATTTTTAATCATATTGTACAAAATTTTATACAAAATGAATGAGAACATAAAAGTTGAAAAATGAACTTAAAAGAAACATTATAAATGTCAATTAATTAATGAAATGATTTATATGTCAAAATTATTATTATTAAACTTTAATTTTAGTTTCTAACACTTATTTCTTTTTAATAAAAAAAATACTTATTTTGTTATGCACTTTATGCTATTCTTTTATTATTATTACATATTATATTTCATTTTATAGTGACAATTTTATTCTTACTCATTTGGCTCGAGGTTCTCCAACAAAAGAGAATTAGAAAAGTTTCTTATTAAACTATCCAAGTTTACCTCAATTAAAAAATGTGTATTACATGTAATGAGTAGATAGATTAGATGTTTGTATAGGATACGTATTAAAATTGAGATATTGTTGGCCTTTTATTATAGAAGGATAAACATAGTAATTCTAATTCAAGTTGAAGTGTTTGATTAGGTCAAGAAGTACTCAGCCTAACCAAATACTTAACAATTCTGCCCGAAAGTAACATCTAACCATTACAGGATAATAAAGGGTCTTAAATGTATTTAAATGACTTGATCTTTAACAGTAAGGGCTGGAAAATGCTTTAGAAGATAGTACGTAGATGGAGGATGTCTAGACTGATCTTCAAGCTCTTTTAGAGAGGAGGGAGGAGACTTCTGCTTAAGTCCAAAGGCAGGTCAACGTGCAAGCATGGAGAAGGAAGCTGGAGGAGGTAGATGAGCTTTTATTTTCAGTGTCTTCCCTATGGGTTGGCTATCCTCTACATCAGACGCAGATTCTTCGTCTGATCCGGATTGGAGGATCATTCTCCTCTTTGCTGGTTGTGCAGCAACAACCAAAGGTTTATCCTCCTTTGGAGACAGAGAGGGTTGGCGCTTCTTGCTAAAACGCGTCATCGGTTGTTCTCCTCCGATCTCCTTCTTTATCTTCAAGGCTACTGTGGGGTCAAAGATGTTGTAGCTTATTAGCATTTTCCCTAGGTTTGCCTTTCTAAAGACAATGGGGTTCAACCTCTTGTTTCTCCCCATTGCCATGATCCTCTGTCTCTCTTCTTCTTCAATGGTAAAGAAGGTGTGGTAGACTTTGTGGTCCTAGAAGATTTTGTTGAGGATCATGGTGTGAACCACGAACTCCTTGTTGTCTTTCAAGCACCCTCTCCAGTGCTGAAAGAGGACTTGAGGGAGGTTGAAAGCGGTTCTAGTCATCATCTAGAACAAGCAGAACTTGGCGCCTACCTTGTGAAGGATCGACTTGTTCAGTATCTGCTGATAGACCTTAGCCTTATTTTCAAACTTGTTGTAGGCTATAGGTCCTCCTTCACCCTCCTTGTGAAGGACCTTGGTGACCTGGGACAGACCACCTACATTAGACATCCACCCCTTGTGGTAGATGGTGCTTGTCTTCTCACACCCAATGGCTTGTGCGATGGTGGTAAGACAGACTCTGACGGTTACTCCAAGCACCGTTCCTTCAAAGAAACCTTGAGAGGCCTTCAGGGATTCATAGAACATTTTCACCAAGCCAGGGTATACAACCTCCTTGATGTTGAAATACTTGAAGATTCCACAGTCAGCCAAATCCTCGTAGATGGGTATTCCCCATTCCTTCATCTAACTGATGTTGAAGTGATGTTCTAGATACATCACTGGCTTTACCTCCATAGAGAAGGTATGGGCGCAGTCAGTGGCTTTGCGCATTTCTATGGGAATGGTCACAGTTGGAGCGTTCTTAGTTGGGGTAGCCATTGTAATGAGTGAGGAAGATTTGAAGTGATTAGGGTTTTGGGCTCAGAGAGAAAACTTGAAAGTTTGAGGTCTTTAGAGTATGGAGTAAGATAGTGAGTACGAGGGAAGATATAAGGATTTTGAAACAGAAAAATATTTCTGTTTTTATTATTATTTGTTTGACATGGAGCCCTTTTGCCTTCCTCGTGCAGAGTGACGTGTGTTATGCACAACTCGCATTTAATTCAGGGTAAAAGATCTGTCTTTTCAAATAAAAACCCCCAATGACGGTTTTGTTACTCATTTATTTAAATTTTTATCCTTTAAATGCGGAGAATGTTTGTCTCCGACTGCTCTAGACAGATTTCAAGTTTAATGATGAAGGTCATTCATTAGGAATATGCCAAACTGAATTTTCAGACGCAAGGACTGTATATTCAGACGCAAGGGAAATTATCTAGACACTTTATCAGACGAAGATTCTCAGACGCAGTTATTTTTTACTGCACTCTAAGGGATATTCAGACGTAGTGGTTTACTACGTTTGTTTTCCTATTGAGTTTCAAACGAAACTGGACAGTAAATATATTAATATTCCAATGTATTTGATGTGATCTACTTTTATAACATTTGGAACATGTTTCATTGAAGTAAATGAGTTGATACCTGTTTTGCCTATACCAGTTGTTTGTCCTTCTTGCTTTTCAACTTCCCGTTTGTCCTTCATTCTTCCATGGATCGTATTCTACCCCTGCAATGTTAATTGCTCAACCCAAGGGGTCAAACTCTGATACTAATTGAAGTTAGAGGAAAAACACATAGAAGGG